AGCTCGGGCCGCGAAAGGGGGAAGGGGCGGCGGCGACCCCGCGACGCGCGGGAGCTCCGGGCCCGGCGCGAGGGCGGATAACGGGGCCGGGGCTGCCGGATAACGGGACCAGGAGGCGGATAACGGAGCCGGCCGGGCGGGGTGGGGGAGAAGATAGAGGGGGGAGGTCGGCGGGTAACGGGCTCCGGAGGGGACGAGCAGCTGGCTCTGGGGTGCTGGGGGTCCGTGTGCTCTCAGAGCTCTCTCCCGGAACCCAGGGCCTCCCTCCGGGGTGGGGGCTGGGGATAGAGGCTCCTCGCCCAGTCCCGGATCCCGGGGCGAAGGGGTGGGGGTGGTGTGGGGAGGTGGCCGTAGAGAGGCTGGCACCTGCGAGCCTGCGTGGGTCGGGAATTCTGGGATCAGAGGAATAATCGAAGATGCCCTCTTCAACCTCAGCCACCAAGGCTTTCTGGCTTCTCATTTTCCTTGACCCTGAAGCCCCAGATCGAACTCCTCTCCCCGGGATCCCCGCAGTCAGCAGCGGATCGCGAACCATATGCATGCTAGTAGTTTGTGCAAAGGGTGCATTTGTACCCACGGACGTGCGTGGTCCAGGCTGTCTGTGGAGTGTGTGCACTGGTGTGTCTGAAGGGGCCACTGTGTCGAAGGAAGGGAGTGTGTACCCTGTGTGTAAGCTGGTGCTGACTCCGCCAGAACTTCTGGTCCCTCCTCCTCCCTCCCTGATTGCATCATTAGTGCTAATTGAGGGGCTTTCACACGTCAGTGCATTAGCTGTTTGGAGTGAGCTTCCCCCCTCCTGGGAGAGATAAGCTGCTGCCCCTCCCCATCCCAGCCCTCCACTTCCCCACAGCCCTGGAACTGTCCACCCAGAACCTCTCACCTTCCTGGGCACCTTCCTGCCTCCCTCTGGTTCTGGACTGGTTAATCTCTTTCCTCCCCGCAGTGTCAGAGATTGGCTGGAGAGGAGTCAGGGGGTGTCGGAAGGACACCTCTCTGAGGGGGTGTCAGGGAGGGGAGATTTTCCTCCAGGGGGCTGAAGAGGTCTGGCATTCCTACAGAATGCAGAGTCACTGTGATGAGAGAGCGGACGGGAATCTCTCTCCCAGTTCTTTTGGACATGGAAGGGCAGAGGGGAGGACTGAGTCTTTGATCTCCAGCCTGGGATTCCACTGAGGTAGGGGCATCCATCCCTGACTCTTGGGGTGCCCTAAGGCTGGAGCGTTGGGGCCCAGTCCAAGTTAGCAGGCATGGGAAAGGCAGAGTGAGAAAAGCCACGGTTCTTCTGAGAACCTTGAGTTTGGTGGGTTCGGTCTGGCCCTGTTTAGCTGCTCTGCCCCATGCTGGCCCACCGCTGCTGGGTGTGGGGGCAATGTTCTGAGCAGATGCCCTCCCCAGCCCTCACACCAGATGTCTTTGTTCTAATTAACTGTGCTGGGAAAACCAACCTGGGTTTGTAAACAGAGCTACTGGCTAAAGTCAACAGCAGCAAACAGCAAACATTCTCCTCACACAGCCTCAGTCCAACCCAGCCCCTGGGGAAGAAGGGAGGCTTGCAGATCCTGAGGCCCCCTGGCCCACTGCTGAGTCAGGGAAAGCCTATCTGCCTCCGTGACCCCAATATGGCTGCTCTCTTCCCAGTTCCAGGGGCTCCTCTCCTGGTGAGGACTGGGGATTCTGGGAGGAACAGAGATGCCAACCAAGTTAGGCTCTGCCCCTCTTCCAGCAATCTCCTCGAATCTCCCCAGCCAAACCTCTGCATCCAGGAGGAAGCCATGGAGTGGGGGATGGGGGGTGGGGGTGGGGTGGATATTCCTTAAAGAGCTTTCTTTGGGGCCTGCTCTGCTCTAGGGTCTCGGAGAAGCCCCTGAGGTAGGACTTGGCACTGTGAGTCTCCAACTTAGAGCTGGTGAATATAAGGTGAACATTGTTAAGTTTGTTACACATCAAGTAGGTATTGTAATAACATGTTCTGAAATTAGATAATTATTCCTATGATATCTTTGCCAAGGCTCGGTGTTTCTATTATGGTCTGAAAGTTCAGTGCACACAGGGGCCTGAGGAACAGGCACAAATGTACATACAAGGCACACGTGGAAGCCCACGGAGCGGTAGCTTCCCACACGGGAACGAAGACATTTCAGCGCTCTCCTCACACCCACTCTGTCTCCCCCGCCAGTCTCAGACACACAGACACACACAATCTTTGATGGAAATAGGTTTTTGGCCTCTGAAAAAAAGGGATTGCACTTTTGGAGATTAGAGTTTCTGAATTGGCAGTTCTTGAGTTCTTAACCAAATTCTGCTTGTTTGCTTTTTTTTTTTTTTTTTGCCACCCAGGGAGAAGAATCATCATTTCAAAAGAATTGAAAAAGACAGACTACTGCTTCAAGCTTGGGATCCATAGTCTGCCCACTGGCCCTGTCCTGGAGACCCGGCAGGGCCAGCCTCCTCCTCAGGCCAGTGTCCAACTTTGAGCACTGAATGCCATCTTCACAAGAGAGTCTTCCTCCAGCTGTCACTCAGGGCCACAGCCGCCCGCAGACCAGAGTCTCTGCTAGTGTGAAGGCTCAGTGCTGCAGACACACCGCATCTTCCTGTTTCTCCCCCTGCCTGCCACACCCCTACCTACCCCAAAGGCTAACTTGGATAGCTATCCTTGGGAAGGAGGCAGAGGGTTCAGACTCCAAAATGCTAGATTTCTCTGGAAATGTCTTAGACACCTCCTGTCTGCATGTTGTGTCAGGTGGTCCTGGGCTGCCTCTCAGCAGCTCTCTTAGTCGTCTCCCTTTAACCTCCAGCCCAGGTCTTAAACACCTCTTTTGGAGTATTATGCTCCTGCTTGAAAACTTGGAGGGTGAACTGAACTGGGCCGTTGGGCCTCCATGAGCTGCCCCAGCCCTGCCCCCAGCCCTGTTGGCCCCTGCATGGAGCCAGACTTCCCCAGCCCCGTGCCTGCCCTGTGTCCTGACTTGCAGCCATCATCTGTGTTTTCCCAGGTTGCCCTCCCAGCTCCTCCTTCCTGAAATGCTCTCTTCTAGCCTCTCCGTGTAGTCTTTGCTAGCTGGTTCTTCTAGGTCTTCTGGAAAGTAGCGAGTTACACATAATGCTTCTCGGGTGCCTGGGTCCCTGGGATCTTGAAGGTATATTCTCAGAGTTCTGTGGATTTATTTCCTTTAAAAGGAAATGTACAAAATACATTTCTCTGGTCTTGGAAACTTTGATGTAGAGTTGAGAGCTTGGGACTTGGAGTCAGAGAAATCGGGGTTCAAATCTCATTAGCTGAGTTACCTTGGGCAAGGTAGGTAACCTCTCTGTGTCGAGTTTTCTCGCGAAGAAAATGGGAGAAAATACTAGTCACTACCACGTGAAGTTGTTGAGTGATGATATGCAAAGACATGTAAAGTGCCTGGCACAGGGCAAGCCCTCAGTATGTGTGATTTATTGCTAGTATTCACGGTCATATCAAACAAATAAACATCTGTGACCACATTGCTTGGTTGGCTGTAACTCTGCCCAGAGGCAGAAATGACTTTACTTCCATCCTGGTTTCCACTGGTGAAATCCCTCAGCCTCCCGGGCTTTCACTGTGCCTGGAATTTTCACGTTTTTCCAAATCAGCAAACCAGTGGTCAGTTGATCAGAAGAGGCCTCCCTTGCCTCCCCCACCCCACAGTGAGCTGTGGAGAGAAGACCACGAATCAGGGCTTGATGCCAAAGTGACTGAGAGCAGGATAGGCCTTCCTGGGGCAAGAAGCTGGGGGAGGGGATGGATTCAGAAGAGGAGGGGGGAGGGAAAGGGGTGGAGTCAGGCAGCCTGCTCTCCCACCCCCACTTCCCTCAGGTAGGAAGTGAAGCTGACTTTCCAAAATATAAAAAACAGATGATGAAGGTCAGGTTTCCTACACAGTGGAGAGCGGGAGCCCCAAGGCAGAGTCCCCTAAGAAGTGATTTGAGACAGAGATGGGGGCAGAGGGAGAAAGAGAAGAGACAAGATAAGACAACACGATGCAGAGACAGGGAGGCAGAGACAAAAGCCCTGAATCCTGAGAAAGATAGTCAGACAAAGAGACAGAAAGCTGTGACTCAGGAGAGATCTGTCTACTCCTCTGGAAAAGAGCTTAGTTCCTCTGTGTGGGTCCCAAGATGTGAACG